CGCCGTCGTCGCCGTCGTCTTCGACGTCGTCGTCGTCGTCGTCGTCGTCGTCGTCGTCGTCGTCGTCGTCGTGGTCGGTCCCCTGTCCGTCCCTCTTGGGGTCGGGTCGACGGTCCGCGGCCGCCCCGCCGATCAGCGCTGCTGCTGCCCAGGCCGACGGTCCGCGGCCGCCCCGCCGCTTGGCGGGGCCCGGCCTGCAAGGAAGAAAGGTATCCCCCCCACAAAGGGGTTTGATCGAAGACGAAGAGGGCGGGTATCGAGGGTTTGGGGAATACGCGTTATTGGACACTCGAGCATCTAAGGGCGAACGGTCTTAAAATGATCGTTGTTGTTATTGTTGTTATTGTTGTTGTTGTTCTTGTTGTTGTTGTTGTTGTTGTTGTTGTTGTTGTTGTTGTTGTTGTTGTTGTTGTTGTTGAACTCTCATTCTTGAATAATAATTATTGTTGATCCCCCCCCACCGGTGCACATTGATTTTTTTCGATTGAAGTGCCACCCCCGGGGCTCGCACTTTGTTTTTCTTTAGGAAAGTCTTCCTGCTCAAACTGTGCCCCTGCCCCCCGGGCTACAACAACAACGGCTCCCGCCTGAGACTTCCTCGATTTTTACTCAGGAACCCCGCTCCCGCCTGAGACTTCCGCGCAATTTACTCAGGAAAGGCGCTCCCGTCTGAGATTTCTTCGCAATGTAATCAAGACCCCCGCTCCCGCCTGAGACTTCCGTGCGATTTACGTGGGAACGGCGCTCCCGCCTGAGACTTCTTCGAATTTTACTCAGGACCCCCGCTCCTGCCTGACATTTCCGCGCAATTGACTCAGGAACGGCGCTCCCGCCTGAGACTTCCTCGCAATTTAGTGAGGACCCCCGCTCCCGCCTGAGACTTCCGTGCAATTTGCTCAGGAACGGCGCTCCCGCTTGAGACTTCCTCGCAACTTAGTCAGGGCCCCCGCTTCCGCCCGAGATTTCCTCACAATGTACTTAGGACTGCGCTCTCGCGTGCGACGTCCTCACAAATTATTCTGGAATTGCGTTTCGGCGCTCAGGAACCACGCACGCGCCAAGGACGCTTTCACAACGTGGTATCTTCCCTCTTCCTTCGTCCTTCCCCCTCCCCTTCCTCCCACTCTCCCTCGTTCGTCCCCTCCTCCTCTTGCAGGGCCCGCGCCAATTCCAATGGCGGGCAGAGACATGTACGCCCCCGAAGGATTGTCCGCCCGTTCCGGTTTGCCCGTACGTCTAAGCCCGCCGGCCCCAGCAAAGAGAAATAATCCCCCCGAAAGGGGTGTGATCGAAGACGAAGAGGGCGGGTATCGAGGGTGTAGGGTATACGTGTTGAATGACTCGCGGGCAAGTAAGAGCGTACAGCCTTAAAATGGTTGCTGTTGTTGTTGTTGTTGTTGTTGTTGTTGTTGTTGTTAGTGGGGGTTGGTGTCCCCCCCAGGGGCGGGGAGGGTGCGTGCCCCCATTCTGGAGTAGTGCTCCGGCCGGGCCCCGAGCCCTGGGGGGCTAAGGAATGTTCCTGTCCTTAAGCCCTTACGTCGGAAGAATTGTTATTGCTGGCCCCCCCTGCCCAGTGCACATGGCTTTTTTTTCATTTGAAGTGCCCCTCCCGGGGCTCGCACTATTTTGTTGTTGTTGTTGTTGTTGTTGTTGTTGTTGTTGTTGAATATTATTACTTCTAAAGAATAATTATTGTTGGGCCCCCTGGTGCACGCCCCCCTCGCCGCGCCTAGGCCGCAGCCACATTTTCATCATTTTCGTCAGGAAGTCTCAGGTAAAACGATGTGATCCAGATCCGGTTGTTTTGTTGTAATCCGCTTTCCCTTGCAAAAAACACTATAACATGACATTTCTTGTTCTAACATAATCCAAACTTCAAGAATCCCTTGCAAAAAATAAGGTAAAGTGGACATTCGCGCGCGCAAGACGAAATCCTTCCAAAACCTTAGTGTTCGTAGCGATTTTAACATAAAAACATCAAAAAACCAATGGTTTTTCAACAAAAAATTGTCAAAATCTCATCCCGCGCGCTCTTGCGGATTCGTAGGAAACCCAACACTTTTTAAACATTTCTGTCAAACGGGCTTTTGCGAGCAACTTTTTCGAACTTCTGCAACAACGGTTGCGCACCTGCCAGGGCCATCATCCCTGTCAAATAATACCATGCGGGACACATTCGTTTTTTCTTCGCGCGCGCACGCCGTCGTCGTCGGCCGCGGGGCCCTGAATAGTAGCCACGGTCGTCCGCATGCCACGAAGTGAAGTGTCCGAACGTCATAGGGCGGGAAGCTGGGTGTGGGTGGTGGCGAAGAGTCGTTTGGAAATTTGGTAGAGCTTGAACCGGCCCTTCCACAAAGTGGGGGTATTGCCCGCCTCCTATGAAAACCCTGGCACTGGTGAGAACGGAGTGTCCCCACGTGCTAGTAATTGTTGTTGTTGTTGTATTATTCAGGGACAAATGGAGCCTTGAGCGTCAAACTGCGCTCCCGGCCCCCGAGTTACAACAACAACACCAACAGCAACAATCATTCGAAGACTGTTCGCTCTTATTTGCCCGTGTGTCATCCAAAACGATTTCCCCACACCCCCGATACCCGCCTCTTTTGTTTTCGATCGCGCCCACTTTTGGGGATTCTTTCCTTTTGCGGGGGGCGGCGGGCTTAGACAGGCGGGCAAACTTGAACGGGCGGACAATCCTTCGTGGGCGTACATGTTCCCGCCAGTGGAATTGGTGTGGGCCGTGCAAAAAGAGGAGGGGGATAACGAGGGATATCGGAAGGACGGGAGGGGGAGGGACGAAGGAAGAGGGAAAACGCCAGGAGAGAAGGAGCGAAAAGGGGGGCGGTTGATTAGGGCACAGAGAGAGAGAGAGAGAGAGAGAGATACATAATTTGAGAAAGAGAGAGAGAGAGAGAGAGAGAGAGAGAGAAAGAGAGAGAGAGAGAGAGAGAGAAAGAGAGAGAGAGATAACAAACCACATCAAATACAACTAGAAAAGGGAAAGAGAGAGAGAGAGAGAGAGAGAGAAAGAGAGAGAGATAGAGAGAGGGGAGAGAGAGAAAGAAAGAGGGAGGGAGGAGACAGGAGAGGGGAGGGAGAAGGGAGGTGGGAGAGGAGGGAAAGGGGATAGGGCAGAAAAAGGCATAAGGATGAAGGAAGAGGAAGGGAGGAAAGGAGGGAGGAAGGAGGAGGGAGAGGGAGGAGGAACAGGAAGGTAAGAGCGTGAACGATCGAGGAAATCCTTGGCGAAAACGCCGTTCCTGAAAGAAATTTCGGGCGGGAGTCCACGAGGGGCGGGCGATCCCCTGACGGGCGGGTCGGGCGGGTGGGACATTCAAGCGGGATGCCTGAGTTTGGCGAGAGCGCGATTCCTGAGTAAATTGTGACGGCGTCTTGGTGAGTCGTGTTTCCTGAGCGTCGAAAGCGCGATTTCTGAATAAATTGCATGGGAGTCAAAGGCGAGAGCGCAACTCCTGAATGAAATGTGAGGGGGTGTCTGGCGGGATCGGGGGGGTTGATTAAATTGCGAGGAAATCTTGGCTCATTTGCGAGGAAGTCTCAAGCGGGAGCGCCGTTCCTGAGTAAATTGTGAGGATGTCTCAGATGGGAGCGGGGGTCTTGATTAAATTGCGATATGCGGGGGGCTAGGGGCACAGTTTGAGCATAAAGACTTTCCCTGTCAAAAAACAGGGTGCGAGCGTCGAAGGACACACTTTGATTGAGAAAAACAGCATGCACCGGTGAGGGGGGATCAGCAATAATTATCTTTCAGAAGTGAGAGTTCAACGGCTCCCGCTTGAAACTTCCTCATTGTTGATTCCCAAATCGCGCCCTTGCGCGGGGCTACTTCGCCATGTGTACAGAAATCGCGCTTTCGCGCGGGACGTCCTCGCGATTTATTCAGACGCCGTGGCCTCGACATTCAAGAATCACTCTCTCGTTGTGGATTTTCAAACGATTTATTTGGGAGTTGCGCTGTCGCTCGAAACTTCCTCGCGATTCGTGCAAGGTGCACGCTTGAGCAACCCGCCTGCTCGACCTGGCCGCCTTGGCCCGCCTTCCCGATCCGTCTGTTAGGGTCTACCCGCCCGATCTGCCCGTTTGGTTCTGCCACGTGTTTTCTGCTCCCAGTCCTCCTGCTCCGGCGTATGGCACGACTGAGTGTGAGCCCTCCTTCTGCTACTCTTCTTTTGTGCTTCATCCTGCTGTCCCCCTTGTCCCTTCTTTCCATCCGTCTTCTCTTCCCCTGCCTTGAGGGCTGCACGAAATACACGTTGCAGATAAGAAAGATTACCCCCAAGGGGGTACAATCGAAGACGAAAGGTTCTTCGCCGTTGCCGTGCCCCTCCTTTTCCATTTTTCGCCTTTCCCTTGTCCTTCTGCTCCGCCTACTCCTGCTCCTGTTGCTGCTGCTGCTGCTCCTCCTCCTTCCTCATTATCTGGTTCTTCCTCCTGTTCATATGCATGCTCATCCGCCACCTCCTGCTCGTCCACTTTACAACATCTCATTTTCTCACTGAGTTGCGCATCGCATGATTGGGTCATGTCCAGACCAAGGTCATCCAGGATACGCGCTTGCCTGCCTCCTGTCTGCTACCTGCTTGTCATGTGGCGCGAGCGTCCCTAGCTTGCCTCCCTCCTGTCTGCTACCTGCTTCTTTTCCCCCTCCCTCTTATTGCCCTTCCGTGCCCAAGAGTTCCATGACACCTCCTAGCCGGCTTGGGATTTGAAATCTGAACACCCTAGAACGTTTCGGTCGCACCCGAAATCCCTTCCCCGCCCTGCTCCTCCACCTCTGTCCCTGCGAGGGGCCGAACTCGAGGAGGAACGCCGGGATGGAAGCAAACATGTCGTCCCAGATTTGGGCTCCCCCCGGTCCTCTTCCTCCTCCTCCTCCGCCTCCATCTCCTCTGGTGGAGGCTCCTCGAGCGCCGCGCTGCTTCCCGAAGTCGTCGACGCGATCGTCGGCTTCCTGTGATCCGTGGGTGGCGCGGCGTTTGGCCCAGGAGGCCTGGCGGCACGCGCACCGTCTGCCCTCGTCGTCGTTTTCGTCGTCGTCGTCGTCGTCGTCGTCGTCGTCGTCGTCGTCGTCGTGGTCGTCGTGGTCGTCGTCGTCGTCGTCGTCGTCGTCGTCGTCGTCGACGTCGTCCTCGGGATGCTTTCCAGCAGCTGCGCCTCGCCGAGGGCGTTCCGCTGTTGCCCAGACCGTCCCGCGCGGCCGCTGGAAGCTCGAGTTGTGGCCAGGAGTCGTCGTCGTCGACGTCGTCGTCGTCGTTGTCGTCGTCGCCATCGTCGTCGTCGTCGTCGTCGTCGTCCCTGCTCCCTCTTTCCTCCTCCCTCCTTCCTCCCTCCTCGCGGCCCACTGTGGTGGAAGCTGCCGGGCACCCGTCCCAGAGCCTCGCGGCCCCACGGTGTATAAGCTGTCCCGTCCTCCCGTGCTTCCCGGATGGCTGCTCCATTCCTAAAGTTGAGTCAGGCACGTCCCTCTACAGGAGGAATATTCAATAATAGTTTAACGAATAGTATAGGTAAGTTTTTTGACTCTTTTTGATCATGCTTGATTTGTTCGGATTTTTTTTTTCGTCCAACATCCGCCTGTAGGAAAACACGCCCGACCGAATCCCAAGGATGGGGTCAGGTACTCTCCGAGGCCACGGCGCGCTCCGCAGTTTTGCCTCCGCCCTCCTCCCTCGCCCTCCCTCCCTCACTCCCGTTACCTCTCCGTGGCCCGAGCTCCCCCTTTCCCCCCTCTTTGGGTTCCATCTTTTCTCCCTTCTTTTGGTTCCCCCTTCTTTTTTGCTCCCACTTCTTTTGGTTCCCCCTTCTTTTGGTTCCCCCTCCTTTTGGTTCCATCTCTCCTCCCTCTGCCTCCCTAGCTGCTGTTGAGGACGCTGTCTGTTTTTCTCCTCCGTTCTCAACCTGTCGGCTTTCGAAACGGGGGGACAGAACGGCAGCCCCGAGCGGAGTAGCAATCGGCAGGACAAAACGGAACCGAGTCGAACACGGCGCGCACGAGAATCCCCAATCGAAACAAAACTGTCCCCGAAACGGAGAGTCCACGCCGATCTTGAGAGCGAGAAGCACGCCCCCCCTCCAGCGTCTTGAACACCATCTGCGCAAGCCCGCCCCCCTCCTCCCTCCTGCCTCCTGCCTCCTGCCTCCTGCCTCCTGCCTCCTCCCCTCCTCACCTCCCCCTTCCCCTCGGCGTGGGCGGGTTTCGGCTCCGCCGGCGGCTGGCTTCGCCGGTGCGAGGAGGAGGAGGAGGAGGAAGAGGAGGAGGAGGAGGCTCGCTGGGGCTGGTTTCGCCGGCGGCTGGCTTCGCCTGCGGCTGGTTTCGCCGGCTCCTCCCCCTCCGCGGCGCGCCCGGGGGGGTGGTACAGTCGGGGCGCTGAAGAAGGAACCCTTCTCGTTGGGGGGGGGGCTCCGTGTTCCTTCATGGTTTTGCAGCTTGCCCGAGGTTTCCCTTAGGTTTTCGATCGGACATCGAAGTTTAACTTATGGAAGAAAGGGGCCTCGTTCCTTATTTTGGGTTCCTTAGGTCAAGGCCCCGACTGTAAGTGAGAAGGAGCAGGCCTTCTCAGAAGGCTCGGGGGTCCCTGGGCCTTCCGAGAAGTTTTCTAAGCCTTCCCCGAGGACACCACCAATTTTTCAGGAGGCCCGGGGCCTTCAGAGAAGTCCCGCCGCCTTCTGAGGATGCCTTCTGCTCCTCACTTCCCCGCCCCCGCTCGCCGCCGACCCCTGCCCCTGGGTAACAATGACGAGTGTACTACCCAGACCCCCGACGTCGTGATTTTTTCACAACGTCGACCCCCTGAGGTCTGGACCCCTTCCCAGGGATCCGTTTTTCATCCCGAGTCGTTCTTGGGCGGTCCCGAGGTTCGGTCAGGGCCCCCGGAGGCCGAAAACAGTGGATAACCTCCCGTCGTGTTTTTTGCGTAGCGCGAGGGGGTCTGGTAAGGGGGGGGGCGCCTGGACCCCCCCCCCCGCCCACGTGCTGGTGCTCGCGCGCATGCACCCCCGCCTCCATGTGCCCCGCCCCGCCCGGGCGTTGCCGTGAACCTCGGGGGGTCTTTCGTTTTGTACCCCCCCCCCTGGTTTCTCTCGGCGGGGACCGAATTCCGCCCTTCCTCCTGCTCCTCCTCCTCGTCGTGCCTCCTTGGTGTTGCTCCTCTTCCTCGTCGTGGTTGTGCGCCGGGTGCCGCGGAGAAGCGCTCATTTTCCTTTCTGTTGGTGGGATCTCCGTCCGCCAACGAGGGCGTCGGAACGAGCATCAGGTTCCAGCTATGGGGGGGAGGTTGCTAAGTTTTTTAGGACCTGCAGCGGCTACCGGGCCCCCCTCCTGGGGAAATGAGAAGGAGAAGGCCTTTTCAGACGGTGGCGGACCTTCTCAGAAGCCATCGCACATTCTGAGAAGTCTTCCGCCTCCTCGGGGAAGGCTTCGAAGACTTCTCGGAGGGCCGGGGGACTGCCGAGCCTTTTGAGAAGGCCTTCTCCTTCTCA